CACTGAATCTGAATGAGCAAATCTTAGCTGATCAGTATGGGAAGGCAGAAAGGAAGTCCATAAATGACAGAAGGGAGGAAAAAAGGCTGCAATGGAGCTCTGTAACTGACAAAATGTAGTTTTTCTTTTTTTTTAACAGCTGCTTGTATGGGAGGACACAGGACAAAAATAACCATTACTTAAGTCCCTCTGTGAATTTGTATATGAGAGAGAAAGAATTCAGCTAGAAATCATCCTTACTGTTTTCACCTGTTTTTTTTTAGCTTTGTTCTGCTTGAATAACAATACCCTTTCTTACTGATAGAATGATTTTTAGGAATGAAGAAAATAAACCAGATTTAGAGGTACATAAAATGACACACATACTGCCAAAATATCCTGCCCTGTCTGCTATAGTATGACCACTGAGTTGTTAGCTGTGCTCTCTATCTTATGTATAAATACCAATCTACCTGTCTGATTTCTCACTAACAGTATGTGACTACGAATTTCCAGTTATTCTATTTTCAACAATATTTTTTTCAGTTCCATAAAACCTTTCTCCTTCTTATTTCTTTTGGAAAAATAAGGGGGAGAAACTCTGTATGAATTTTCTCAATTTTGCTAAAAAACTCTGTCTTTTCTGCAATCACTGATACAGTTATTGTGAAGTGTTTTGTAGTTATAATGGACTTATTCCAGAAGCCTTGCAGTGGTGGTCCAATCCCTAATCCCTGCTCTAAATTGTTTCCTTTGGTGTCACATCACAAAATTAATCTTTCCATTTGCTTTGCAGAACCATTTAACAGTGTGTGAATCCATATAAAGAGCCATGAGGCAAAGTTTTTGATAAAAGTTAGCTGCAACCAAACCAGCCTGCATGTCTTATTTGTGAATAAGAAAATAAATTTTTCAGTAATGGCAGGTTTGACCGCAACTTTTAGTTTTTCTCCTGCCTTTCTGCTAGAATATGTAGCCCATTCAATAGTTTCCTTTTATTTTGAATATATTTTGCTGTGTAATCAGGTGGCTGTGGGATATGACCCAAAAACTGGTCATTCTGGTCACTTATTTATTCCAGTGATTTGAAATAGTGTTATGGTAACAATGCCTCACATGCAGAAAAGCAATGCCGGCAACAAGATTTCTGCTGAGGATCTGAGAGTGGATTTAAATGGTGTGTGGCAGTGGTCATAAAAGTACTCCAGATAGTAGACCAGTCTTTGGGAAAAGGTTCATATGATAAATAGAGAACCCCTTACTAGCCCTTTGAGTCTGATCCTACTATAATGGTAATATTAATGATGAAATTTGTTGGTTTCACACAGCCACTCAATGGACTGTATGAAATTAGTAGAGATGGTATTTGTTGAATTCTTGCTCTGTGTGAACCTGTCTTCAAACTAATACTGCAGTAAGGCAGAATGACTGAAAATACTGTCAGTAGGAGAATCTGAGGGAGTGCTGGAAGTGCACGATTCTGAGAAAGTTAGACTAAAAGAGATGGACTAGACTATAATTTGAATAAGATGCTGTAAAAAGTCTTAAATTCTGGAAAGTTTCTGACCCGATTGTCCCAGTAGTTCTTTATATAAACTAATCTAGTATTAGCTAGCTTGACTTGAAAGAAGAAAAGGAGAAAATAAATTGTAGTTAAATTTAATATTTGAAGTGTGAATCATCTTATCTAGCTTTCAGGATGTGATTCACTCCAGAGCTGGTCACCTGGACTCAGTTGCCCATTTTATATCTGTATATCAGTCAGATGTTTAAAGTCCCACTGCAGTCAGCATTGGACATATACCACTAACAAAACTTCATTTTTGGGCTTATCCCAAGCCCAAAAATCTCCTCTCTCATGCTTAGGTCTAATCCTGATCCTTCTTTTCCTCCCTAGGAATTATAGATTCCTCCCTAGGAAATATAGATTGTTGGTGCTAAATCCAGAGCATACCAAATTTTTGAAATGTTGGATTCTGTTTAGCTCTGGCAAAGTGCAAGTGCAAGATTATTGCAATCAAGATGCATTTTTTTTTCTCAGTTAGCCCAGTTCAGGAAGTCTTTATTTAGCTCTCTATGGAAGAAATGACATGACATGAAGAATGAAATAGTTTTTGAAAATAATTAAAAATTATGATGACATTTGCAAAATTGATTGTTCCTGTAGCAAAACCAAAGGACACAATATTTTTTGCATAATGCTAACCAAATGTCAACATTTCCCTGCTTGTGGGGGACCATGCTGAGGGAAGTCATATAGACGTGGTGTAGATTCACACTTAAGCTGACACTCTTGGTTACCTGCAGCCAGTTATCCTCACGGTTGAGTTGTTACAACGCTGGGGTGCATCATGTTAGTTTACAAGCTTCTCACTGCACTAAATGGAGCTAGCCACTGATCACAAGATGCAATTGTCCTCCTGTGACAGAATAACTCAGGATGAATTTAATCATCATTGCAGTCAGATGGGTGCACATGTTGTAACACCAAGAAAATACTTAAACATCTGCTTTATATAAAGCAACAGGGTTCATCTCATCCGCTGCATTTATTAATTTCTTCAGCAGAAGTCCCAGGAGCATGGGAATGCAGTATGGATCCAACCTTTTCTTCTCTTTTTCCTTTTCTCTTCCCTTCTGTCTTTTTTTTTTTTTTTTTTTTTTTTTTTTTTTTTTTTTTTTTTTTTTTTTTTTTTTTTTTTTTTTTTTTTTTTTTTTTTTTTTTTTTTTTTTTTTTTTTTTTTTTTTTTTTTTTTTTTTTTTTTTTTTTTTTTTTTTTTTTGGTGTGTTTGTTTTTTTTTTTTTGTCTCAAGATATAGTCACCTAATTTGGTAATTACAGCAGTTGAGGTAAGCAGTAATCCAGAAACAACCTGGATCAGCTCATTTTCTGGAAGAAAACTAAATGTGGTTTTAAGAGCATGACTTGGGGAGTATGGAGGTGGAGAGTGTTTATAAAAACACATCTGAGTTATTTTTAATGACTTGATTTTTGTATCATAGTTGGGTTATATTTCTAAATTGTTCTCTACAAATATTGGTAGCAATATGTTTTAAAATTCTGAAGTTTTCCTAATCAATTCCAAAACTAGCTCTCCTCTACCTTATAACGAAATCTACTATTACGAGAATAATTAGAATTTGAAGCAATACTACAACATGGAGATTAGAAATACTTGAAGTAAGTTGGAGGAAAACTTCATATGAATTTCTTGATTCATACCAAAACCTGTTTGATCTAATTTAGCATTAAGCATCCTTCACTAGTAGAATTCTTAAGCCAGGGGGAAATTTCAGCCCCACAGATTATCTGCATGGAAAAGAACATATCAATTCTTAGAGCCTAGTTCTTTCCCTTATAGATGCTAAAGCACCTGTGAGATATTGTCTGAAAAGTGTTATATTATTTTCTATTTAGAAATGAATTTACGTAGTTAAATCCTTGTCTGTTGAGATGAAAATGAACTCCTTGGGGCATACATCTGATGCCAGCAGGAATGACTAATTTGGAACTTGAAGCCTTTACTTCCTCCCCAGAGGATGTGGGAGATATATAAAAGTGCTTTAAAAATTATCCTTCACATTTGCATCCAGAGGAAAATACAGCAGCTCCAGTTTATTTGATTTGTTCATTAATTGCTCAGCTAATACTTGGAAAAAAGTACAACAAGAACAAAATGTAACCAGGCAACTTAACAGGTGGCATTGTGAAAAATTTCGAGCTACTAGGAGAGGGAACGTAACACAGAAATTGTATTGCCTATTAATCCAAAATAAACATGAAAGAAAAATCAATTCATATTTAGCTCTGTAATCTTTAGCAGTGTTAACCCCTAGCATATGGGAAAGAATATGAAAATGTGTGCCTGTGTGAAACTGGAATGGACAAAGAATTTTATGACATTTTATATGTCATAAAATGCATTTGATCCAATAGGGGTTTATAGCTAACAAATTTCAGAAAAATATTTTGTCCAGTCTTGCTGCTCAGACCCAGGTGTGGGTTCAGAAGTGTGGCAATCCTACCCAGACCTGTAGGGTGGATTACTAATTGGTGATCACCAGAGAATCTACTTAATTTAAAACAGTAAGTTTTCTTCAAGAAACATAGTGTCTAAGTTTTCAAGTCCTGCCATCTGCTACTCGATTGTTTCTGCAATAGCATTTCTATTTAACTTGCAACTGCATGTATAAATTTAAAAGCCTGATTTGGGATCACAATTAGTTGGTTCAAAGATCATTTACATAAAGCTACATCACAAAAGTTTGTGAGTTGTTACCTGAATGAAAACAAACAAACAAACAAACACCAAAACAACAAATCAAAAAATTCCAAACTTTTCTGAGATTACCTTTTTTGTTGTTGAAGAAGAGAACTATCAGATTGCTCATACTGTCACAGTCCATTGGCATCCTGGCTCCACTGGCATTGATTTACATTAACTTGAATCCACCTACCTCTGTATTACTTAGAAAGGGATTTCTTCACCTGTAAACATTATAGAAAGTTGTAAAAACGGCACATATAAAACTTCTCATTTAGAATACCTCTACACACTGGTAGATGTGTCAAAGTAAGTTGTGACTCTATGTACTTGTCATATGCAACAACCTGACTGTTTCCCAGCTTTCTAGGCATTGGTCATGGCATGTGGGCTGTACTTGATGAGCTAATTGCAGGTCTCCATATTTTTTTAAGTTTTTTTGCTTTACCCTAGTTGTGATACCAGTCCACACTGTCCTGGACCTATAAAAAAACAATTTCTATTTTAATTCCTTTTTATATATTTAATTAAAGGTGGAGGTTTTCTTTGTTTGTTTCTTTTGGGTGGTTGGTTTTTACTACTACAATGAACGTGTCTTTCAATTCAGAGAAGTATCCACAACATGTACAGTTATCCAACTCTGTCAGGGAGACAAGGGACAGACTGAAAATAAAGACAGCCCGTGTAGAGGAAAAATTAGTTTCAGTACCAGAAATGTGTTGTAACTGATTTGTATAGTATGGAATAATGCAAATACATCAGGGCTTCAGCTGTCTGTCTGCAATTGTTGGGAAGATTTTATTATTGTCTTGTGATGAATAGCTCTTCTCTCACTCTTTCTCTCAGGAAGACCAGAATCTGGACATTTCTATAGAGAGACAGTGATCATCTCTACTACAAGAAAGCAGGAGACATCTTTCAGTTTAAAAGTTTGATTACCAGCTTCACATCAAATATTTTGTCAAATTTCTAGTTAGGAAGAAAATTTATCCTAGTTCCGGGTAGAGCTTGGGACATTTTTACTCTCTTTTGTAGGGTGGACTGTGGTCTTCATTCATCATCTGGATATTATCATCTATCACATTCTCTATTACAGGAAGGGTCTATAACATTAGTGGCACATATAGTGTTCATTCTTTCTCCCTATAGCATTCACTAGATTCAAAGCCTTTGATCCCTTGTACTCAAAGTCCTTAGCTGTAGTGGTTTGGATGTTCAGTGGATTATGTTATGAAAACAGATTGGAGCTGTGATGTTTGCCATCCTGTGTTTCTACTTTCTGAAAAGTCAGAAGAACTTGATATGTTATACTGAGGATTAGAGTTGTCTGACTAAATGACTGTATCTACAGTGAAGATACTTAAAAGAGAAATACTGAACTTCTTTTATAGTCAGGGAAGAAAACTAGTAATTCCTTGTTGCTTACTGTATGAAGCAACTCAGTCCACACTAGACACCTGAAACTGCTCAAATGAATTATCCTCTATGAGTGTCTCCTATCTGTAAAGGAAACACAGGACGACAAGCTGAGATGTAGACATACAGAATGCTCAAATGTAGCCTCTTAGTACCACTGACAGGTTTTATTATCCAGAATTTCCACATAGGCTGTAAATTTGTCACAGATGGCAGATCCATATCTTTCTGATGGAAGCTAAAGGGCAGAAAGGATACTTTCTGGAACGTAAAGCAGCACAAAAAAGCCCCGTTTAGATGATGAAATTGTACATTTAGTGTGCTCCTTCTGAATTTTGCTTTTATTTTCTCCTTTCCTTTCAGCTGCAGCTGCCTGGTTAAAAAATAAAACTATTGTGTCTGTTCTTCTGGAGTGTCAGTGTTACTATTTCCTAGGAAAGAACTGGTTTTACTACCTAGAATCCAACTTTTTGTTTCATTTAGGTTATTGATGTGTTAGAAACCATGGTCACATAGGAATTAAGGCTTCTCCCCCAAAAATTGTGGCAGGATCAATAGCTCTACTGAAATACATCTATAACAAAGCACACAGCTATAACAAAGCACACAGCATGGGCAACAAACAGGACAAAAGGGAAGCCACTATGAAGCAGGAAAACTATGATATAATTGCAATCACAGAAAACTAGCCCGATGATTCACACAATTGGAGTGCTACAACAGATGGCTGTAAATTCTTCAGAAGGGATAGGCAAGGAATGAGAGTCAGTGGGAAAGCCCTATATGTTAGTGAGTGTTTTGGCTGTCTAGAGTTTGATGGTGGTGTTGATAATAGGGTTGAGTTTTATGTGTCGGAATCAGAGGTAACACCAACGAGGCAGATATCCTGGTGAGGGTCTGTTATAGACTGCCCAATGAGGATGAAGAGGTAGATAAAATATTCTACATTTTGGGGGCTTCAACTTACTAGACATCTTCTGGAAATACATCATTGAGGAAACAATCTGAGAGATTTGTGGAGTGGGTGGAGGAAACTTCCTGAAACGACTGGTGAAGAAGCCAACTAGAGGTGGTGTCTCACTGTTCCTGTTGTTTGTGAGAAGGACTGGTGGGAGATATGATGGTTGGAAGCTGTATTGGGTCTCTGGGTGAGATGGAATTCATTTCCCCATATCAACCTTCACAGTGCTGTGCTTTGCATTGGTAGATAGAAGGGTACTGGTAACACACCATTGTTTTGGCTACTGCTGAGCAGTGCTGGTTCTCAACCTTCTCCCGGCCCCATCAAGGGGCTGAAGGAGGGCAAGATTCTGGGAGGGAACACAACTAGGTTGGCTGACCCAAACTAACTGAAGGGATATTCCACACCATATGATGTCAGCTCAGATAAAGGAGCTAAGGAAAAGAGGAGGAAGGGGGGCATTTGTTATTTACAATGTTTGTCTTCCAGAACAACTGTCACGTGTGCTGAAGCCCTGCGTCCTGGGAAGTGGCCAGATGTCACTTGCTCATGGGAAGTAGAGAATAAGCCTTTTTTTTCTTTTACTTGTGCATGTGTGCAAACTTTTCCTTTTGCTTCAGTAAACTGCCCTATCTGAACCTAAAAGTTGGTTTCCGTCTTATTTTCTCTTCCCTGTCCAGCGGGGAAGGGGAGTGATAGAGTAGTGTGGTGACCACCTGGTATCCAGCCAAAGTCAATCCAACACAGAAGTCATCTTGGGTGCAGCGATCATGAAATTGCGGAGTGTTTGTTTCTTGAAGAAGTAAGGAGTGGGCCAGCAGAACTGCCATCTTGGAGTTCTGGAGGGCAGATTTTGGCATATTTAGGACACTGGTTGAGAAAGTCCCTTGGGAGGCAGTCCTGAAGGGCAAATGAGTCCATGAAGGCTGGACATTCTTCAGGAGGGGTGTCTTAAAAGGACAGGACCAGGCTGTCCCCAGGTGCTGAAAAAGGAGTTGTCAGGGAATAAGACCAGCTTGATTAAAGAGAGAGCATTGTCTGGAACTAAGAAAAGAAAGGAGAATTTATGACCTGTGAAAGAAGGTGCAGGCCTCTCAGGAGGACTAAAAGGATGTTGTGAGGTTATGCAGAGAGTACCCAAGGGTACTGAGGGAGCTGGTGGCAGAGCTCACCAAGGCACTGTCCATCGTTTGCCAGCAGTCCTGGTTAAGCAGAGTGATCCCAGTTGACTGGAGGCTAGTAAATGTGAAACCCACCTACAGGGAGGACTGGAAAGAGGATCCAAGGAACTACAGGGCTGTTAGCCTGACCTCAGTGCTGGGGAAGGTTATGGAGCAGATAATCTTGAATGTCTTGCTGCAGCATGTACAGGACAGGCTTCTTTGCAAGTTCATTCTGTTTATCAGGATTTTGAGAGTTGAAGTGTAAGGAAACACCTATGCTAACCTATATAACTTGAATCTGGACCTACAAGTCTGATCAAATTACTCAATATTTCCCTTATTAGAGAGCAATAAAAACTCCTAGACAACGATTAATTATATCCTAAATAATGTGTATAAACCAGATGAGTCACCTTCTAACAATGTTTATTTCTATCTGTTGACTAAGAAGGATGCTTAAAGGTATTCCTAGAACTTCAATACATAACCGTTAGAAGCCTAAAGCTGCTTGGGATGAACCACTAAAATACATCGACTGGGTTATTCTTGGAGTTACTGCTTTTCAGTTGACTCTTCAAAGGGTTTAGACAATTAGCTTTACAGAGATACTTAATGTCTGGGTGACCAAATTTAGTAAACTGAATCATATTCAAAATGAAGCTGAGATTTTAAATACATGTGACCTTTACTACACGTAGAAAAAGAAAGGAGAAAAAAAGTGAATTAAACATGTCCCATAATGTTCCATATTGTCCAATCAGAATTCATGTCATGTTCCTATAATAAAAATATAAATGCCTAAAACATAATAATACAATCAATGTACATTTTACTTGAAGTGGGAAGTTTCCCCTGCCCAGTATCCTGTATAGAGCATTGATCAAAACCAGATCATCATTAAAAGTACTGAAATAATGCATCCCTTGTATCAGGGTTTACAGGCCTATGACACCTTTAATAGTGGGTGCTTGGCATCAAGACAAAAGAGATCAGTATTACTTACGCCTTACAGGAACTGTGTAACATATATTAACTTCAGCAATTCAGCAAAAGAGGTCTGAACATTTTTTTTCATTACAAAGGAATTAAAACTTCATTCATGAATTCATGAATTATAGCTTGTTGTAATGCATCTAATGTATTTTAACTTGTGTTCAATGAACAACTTAAAAAGATAGAGCTTACATATTTAAATGACAATCTGCTGCTGTATCTGCCATCTTTCCAGCTACCACCAGGGTTTCAAGAAAGTGTTGCTGGTTTTCTTTTTCTCTTTCTTTTCTTTCCTCTTTCTTTCCTTCTTTTCTTCTCTTTGGAGGTTGGGGGAGGGGAATCTGCCACAATAAACTAGAAAAATCCATTCTGTCAAATTGCATGCCCTGCTGCTTCATCACCATTATTATACTGAGGTTTTACATTAAAGTACCCTGGATTTTAAATTGAAAGTCAAATATAATTTGCCACTAGAAGCATGAAGTGAGTGACTAGAAAAGCTGATAGGTAGGCGCAGCATGACAAATTGGTATCTATCTAATAATGAGCCTTACAAGGTCATGGATCACTACGAAACTCTAAATTTTATGTAAGTAGAACTGGACTACATTGTGTCAATTGTTGTTTCAGGGGAAAGGGCAATATATTTTAGATTGGCCCATACATTTTCAGAGCTAAAGCTAGACAGCTACAATAAGTCCCTTTTTGATAGAAAAGCAAACTAGGGAAAGCAACAGAGAAAGGAAGTGGGAGAAATTTTGGAGTTCCATGCACCCATTTGCAGGATAAATTATAGACAAATAAACTGTTTCAGAGTGTAGTTTTAGGCTCTAGAGAGGAAAAAGCCCACAGATTTATAAAGTATTTGAAAAAATCTTTAAACAAGTGGTCATTTCCTGGGATTTTAAGGGTAAATAGTGAAATCGATTTTGTGTCAACAAAAAGAGGAGAGGACCACCCTTGTTCTTACGCAAGAAGTAATCTTATTGTTAGACCATTACAATATTTGAAATATTCAAATCATTTCTCAGCAAATATTAAACAATAGACCCCTAGTGAAATTGATAAAGGTATAACTATTTATACCACAAAATAGATGATTTGGCAACATCATTCCTTAGTGATATATCCATAGAATTTGTGCAGCTGGCAAATGTTGTCATTTGAGACTTACACTCAGCTGAGATCATTTACTAGGAGTTGCTCTTCTAAGACACAAAGACCTTTATCAGTTTGTCTTATGACATTATTTTTATGTGCCTTTATGAGACACTGTGTAGGATTCATGTACCATAACTCTGACA